GATTAAGGCCTGTAAGAGCGTAGACGACGATCGAGGAGGCGAATTAAACTGACCTGAGATTGACAAAGTTGCCGGCAAATAGATCGACGATGACTTGAGGTGCCGGCGAGACGGCGGCGAATGGAGTCATGGAGGGAGATGAGTAAGCGGTTAGGAGTAAGCGGTTAGGAGGATTCAAAAACCCAAAATTCTGGGTATAACCCCAAATGGGAAAAAATTTGAGTAGGTAAGGGGTAGTACATTATTGGGGTTATAAGGTGTCGTATCGTCATTATATTCATGTTATATCCCTTATAACCTCTATATAATTTTCATGTAACTACGTGTAACCTACATATATGTGAAAATAGATGCGCAGAACTTATTTGTAATTCAGGTAGGTTATATAGAAGTTACATGGAGTTTACAAGGGATATAACACGAATATAATGTCAATATAACACTCATATAACCTCCATTATGTACGCAGCGCTCCGTACGTCTTACTTACGCAAATTTTTCTCCCCCAAATGACCACCCAAGCTTAAAAGTTTCCATTATAATCACTCAAAATTTTAAATATAATATAATGAATTGATACCCAAACTTAAAATTTGACATTTCAACCAAAAAAAAATACATTCCAAAACTTTAAATAGAAAAGATTGATCACTCTTGTCTTAAAAGGAAATAAAGTGGATTTTTGGCTGCTTAGAACATAAATTTTAAGTTTAGGATGCATGTTCAAGCTAGGTTTATCCTACAAACTATGCGCAAGATACATTGGGACCAAAGGAAAGAGAAAGAAAGAGGGGAAGAACGAGAGAGAGTTTTGCCCCTTAAAGGGGAGAAGAGTGGTGTTTTGAGAATCTTTGGCCTCTTTTATTCCTTTGAAAATAAATGTTACAAGAGAGGGGAAGGTGAAAGAGATCTCTCTACATGGTGTTTGGGAGAAAGGAGAGCCCAAAGAACCGCCTAATACATATCATGAGTCCACTATTTATAGAAGATAAAAAGAAAAAAAATACAATATTAAATTCTTACCCTTGCTTTAAGAAGGGTAGTATGGGGTATTTTCATCCTTCCCTCGCCCAGATTTGTCGTTCTGGAACTTTCCGATAGGCAAGGGTAGTCGGAGGAGGCCGGCCGACTGAAGGTAAGCGGCTGGCCAAAATGGCCGACCTTCTGAAGGTAGGTGGCCAGCCCAATGTGGTCGGCTGGCTGAAGGTGGCTGATTCAAGTGTTTGATCGGTCAGTTTTAGGTGGTCGACCAAGGTTGGTTGGTCGATGGGAGAACAGACTACAAGCACGATTTTAACGAAGGTTCGTTTGGCATGGCGTGGGCGCTGACATTTTTCTATTATACATAAAGCTCTCAAGTATTCTACTTCTTGAAAGGACAGCTGTGATAAGAATAAAAATATAGAAAGTATAATTTCAACAAGTCACTAGGTGTACTCCCTTAGTTTTTGTGCTTTATTGTATCTTTTAGTTTATCTTTTAATATGTTGGTTGATGACATGTTCTTTAAGAAGATTGTTGGTTGGTTTTTTAAATTTTTAGGTGTGGTTTCTGCCCAACTCAAGTCTTACTCCTCACTAGTCTTGTTTGCTCGGTTGGATCATTGCCTCGGTCAGGCTGCACCTTTCGCTAAGTCATAGGCGGACCTTATCGCAGCCTACGCGGAGGTAATTACCGAGACTTGTTATTAGAGTGATTTGTAATGTACCCTTCGTGAAGTTTGTCGCTTCTGGGCAAAGAAACGTCTCTATAGCTTTTCTCGAGTCAAGTTTGGAGATGGGTTTTTGGATGATAAGAGTGTGAGGGGAATTTTTTTTCTTCTTCTTATTTCTTCTTTTTGTTGTTTTTAATTTTTGCTTTTTTTTTTTGTTTTTTTTCGCTCTTTAGGATTTTCTCCTCGTTAGTGTAGTCATCTTTTTGTTGGCAACACGTCCACGCTCACCAAACTAATGTTGAAGCCAAAATTTTCATATAGACCATGGGCATAAAGCATTGGGACCAAGGGAAAGATAAAGGAAGAGGGAGAGAGAGATTTGCCCCCGAAAAGGGTGCAGAGGTGTGTTCCCATGCTCTTTCACTCCTTTTTATTCTTTGAAAAATAAAGATTATAAGAGAGGGGAAGAGGAGAGAGATCTCGCTGCATAGGACTCGAGAGAGAGGATAGCCCAAATAAACTCCTAATACATGTCATGAGTTCTCTATTTATAGAAGATAAAAGGAGGGAATACAATATTACATGTTTACCCTTTCTTCAAGGAAGGTAGTGCTGGTATTTTCGTCATTCCCTTGCTCAGATCTGATGTTCTGGAACTTTTTGGGTCTGCATTGAGGTGGTTGGCCAACTAGAGGTAGGTGGCCCACCTAATGTGATTAGTCGGTTGGAGGTGGTCGGTCAATGGGAGAGCAGACTATAGGTGTGTTTGGAGGTAACATTTTCCAAGGAGGAGAAAATCCTAAACAAAGAAACAAAAAATAGAGAAAGAAAAAGCAAAAAGAAAAAAAAATACAAAAAAGAAGAAAGAAGAAGAAAATTTTCTCCCACACACTCTAAGCATCCAAAAAAGTCGTCTTCAAACTTGACTCAGAAAAAAGCTATAGAGGTTATTCCCTATTCAGTAGCAACAAGTTCTGCGAAGGGTGCAGTGCAAATTACCTTAATTGTGAGTTTCGATGACAATATCCGTCTAAGGCCTAGTGAAAGGTACGTTCTGACCGAAGCGATTACCTAACCGAGCAAATGAGACATGTGAGGAGTAAGACTTGAGTTGGCTAGAAATCACAGCTAAAAATCTAATAAAACCAACTGACAATCTTCTCAATAAACAGGTCATCGACCAACACATCAAACGATAACATAAATGATACAAAAAAACACAAAAACTATCAGAGTATGACTAGTAACTTGCTAAAATTATATTTTCCATATTTTTAAGCATTTCATTCTTATTACAGTTGTGCTTCCAAGAAGTAAAAAATCTCGAGGGCTTTATGTATAACAGGAAAATGTCACCACCCTTGTCGGGCTGAAAGAATTCATCAGAATTGCGCATGCAATCTGCTGTCCCATCGGTTGGTCACTTGAAGCTGACCGACCCTCCACCTCTATTCGACCACCCACACTAGGTCGGGCAACTACCTCCAGCCGACCGACCATCTTGGTCGGCCACCTTCAGTCGGTTGGACACTTTAGATTGGCTACCTATCTCGAGTCGGTAGGCCACCTTGGTTAGCCACCTCCAATAGACCGGCCACATTAGGTTGGCCACCTACCTCCAGCCAATCAGCCACCTTCGATGACCCTTGCCGATTGAAAAGTTCCAAAACATCAAATTTGGGTGAAGGAAGGGCGGAAACACCTATATTACCCTCCTTAAAGTAAGGGTAAAAATGTAATATTATATTGCTCTCCTTTTATCTTCTATAATAGAAGACTCATGAAACATGTAAGGATATCTCTCTTCCCTTCCCCTCTCGTGTAGTATTTATTTTACAAGAAATAAAAGGGGCCAAAGAGCCTAAGAACTTGGGCATAGTCCTTTGTGGGCAAATCACTCCCTTTCTCTCCCTCTTCTTGTCTTATTCCCTTAGTTCCAACGCTATATAACTTGGGCATAGTCTACAAGACAAATCTGGCTTCAACAATGCCAAAATTTTATATTTAAAAGTTTTGGATTGTTAGTATATAAAAAACCCTAAGAGTAATATATATTAGGTGCATTTATACACATACCACGCAAATCTTATGTATTTACATTGTTGAGACGCACACTTTATTTTTTTCCTTATTTATAACACTCAATTTATTCCTATCAAATAAAAAATACCACTATTATTAACTCATAACTGACACACATTTCCGAACATAGAAAATTGAGTGTTTTAAGATACATGAATGACTTATAAATATTTAATGATTAAAGTTATTGATATGATCCATCATTAAAAAAGTGCAAATTTTGCTAAGAATAATAATAATGTCAACTAAAAAATTCACATGAAAGGCATTTGGAATTAGTTACCTCTCTCTCTCTCTCTCTCTCTCTCTCTCTCTCTCTCTCTCTGACATATTCCAACACATAATATTTATGAACTTTTTGGTGATTATGAGCAAATATGAAGCTAGAATATATATCAATGCAATTTCTCTTTAAAAAAGGGTTTCCTTTTATCATTCATTGCTTAGCATGCAAGAGTGATTTGGTTTTTGACATTCTTTGCAATGAATTTAAACAAAAAAGTAAATAAAGATGATTTTTATGTGAAAAATGTCGATAAAAACATGATGCATTTAGAAAGTTCACCCTTCGCCCTAGTTAGAGATGACATAATTATAAAATCAATATTGTTGTCTAACCTCTTTATGATTGGAGTTAAAAGTTTCGAAGAAGCAACGAGGATGATGAACATTAAGGTAGATTAACAATTAGCAATGGTGACTGTGGGATGCAATTGATTATTGGTGGGCGACGATGGATGTTAATATTGATTGGCAGAAGGTATGACGGTCAAGAAATAACAGTTGAATGACAACAATTAGATAAAGTCACACAGACAATCTAATGATAATTATTAAAGATATTAATTGAGCGATAACTAATATACAAAACACTAATTTCTTTTCCAATATATAAGCTTTCTTCAATTTCAAATCTTTATATATATATATAACCTCCCTTCTATTTTTCTATTTATTGGCTTTGGAATTAAGAGAAAATAAAAGCAAGAATCAAAGAACATGATGAACACCACATGTATGAGAGTTTATTATTATTATTATTATTATTATTATTATTATTATTATTATTATTATTATTTAAGGTATTTTTATTCAATATATATTATATATACCTATTTTTTATAAAAAAATCAATTCATTTTTTTAGAAATACTCAAAATGATTTTTAATTATCTTAAATCATTCCATACATAACCACCACAACCAATAGCAATCAACCACCAAAATAAAATAAAAACAAAAAAAATATATATATATTTTTTTATTTTAACACTCAAAATTCATTTAATTTCAAATCAAAATAAAACCAAATAGAACAAAAATAAAAAGCTAAATGGTGACAATTACATACAAACCGCCCGAAACTTGTTATTTACAAATCAACCGCCCTCTTTCATCCATTTTTCAAGTTCTCACTCAAATATCAAAATATCAAAATTCATGGTAAATTCATGGTAAAACCCCCAACCCTTATTTTTCATTTTTATCAAATTCTCAATAGTTTGATTGTGGCATGCGTAAGTAAATCAGTTCGGTAGTACAAAAACATCACAGATTAAGTTGTAAATATCAATGTTTAGAATGGTCTGAATGCAATTATCCCAAAATGATCCAAAACAGTCCCCCAAGCCATCATCATAGCAATTGAGAACATTGCTTCAACATTCTAACTCAACAATAAATAAGTTTCTCTACAATTTTCATTTACCAATCCATCTTCAACAATGAAAAAAAAGGGAGAGAAATTTACATACATACCGCACAATTCTTATGCATTTACATATCAAACACCGAAACATTTTACATTCACATTAATAACATTTTGACGTCATAAATCTATACATGAAAATCTATCCTTCACAGATATGCATGTAAATATAAAAATTTACATAATGGATATGTGAATACGTAGGAATTATTCGGTGCATATGTAAATCTTCCAAAAAAAGAATTCTCATGGGGGTTAAGGGGGAGAAATTAACACACATACCACACAATTCTTATGCATTTACATATCTAACCCCTAAACATTTTAGTGTCATAAATCTATGCATGAAAATCAAAACTGAACTGCTATGCATGTATATATAAAAACTTAGATATCATATATGTAAAAATATAAGAAATGTGTGTTATACATGTAAATCTTCCAAAGAAAACAAAACAGTGCATTTGGGGCAACTTGTGCTTGTCCAGATAAGTCGCATATCTGGAAACGCGGACCGTGAGGTTCGACCCGCGTTTTGCGTTCAATGTAAGAAACCAACTGCGTTTTCGGATAAGTTGCTCAAACGCAATTTCCAAACAGTGAGGCGACATTTTCAAAATACCGCTGCAGCAGATAAACTGCCCCAAACCCACCCTGCAGCTCATCAAGCACAAGAATCAGCTTCGAAACTGGGGAACACAACAAAAGCAATAGAAAGAGGAGCTATGCTGAGAGGATGATTAACAGCATTAAGCACAGGAATTAGCTCTGGAATCTCTCCATCTTCAGTGAGCTGCAGAGGATTTCCATTGAGCAGCACTGTCCTGCTCAGATAATCTCCATCTTTTCCACTCAAATGATATTCCTCTCTTCTCTCAGATCCATCAGAAACTTCATTTTTTATCTGAGAAACCGTTTGTTCGAGAACTTTTTGATCGCTTCGAACTGTCACGACGAAGCCGGTCGATTTGCTTAGGTTGATTAGGAGCATGGAGATCCCGGGCTGTGATTCCGTTGTGTTTTGTATTAGAAAAAAAAGAAGCTTTTTGACACCTAAAGTTCAAAATTTACATTTATGCCGAGGTGCATTTCATGTTTGAAAAGTTAAAAAAAGTGATATTTTTTGATGTGGCATGAAAGATTTAGAGGGTATAAATGCAAGAAGTAGATTTTAGGTGTTAAAATATGTTATTTTACGGGAAATGGGTGGTATGTATGTAAATGTTCCAAGTGGTTGAAAGCTTTGCCTCTAACAACAAAGTCTTGAGCTCCACACACGGATGTGAGTGAGTTAAGAAAAAAAAAAAGGTATATTTACATATATACCGTACAATTCTTATGTATTTACAGATCTAACACCCAAAGTTTGATGTTTACACTTACAACACATTGGTGTCATAAAACTACGCATGAAAATGTGTATTTCAAGATTGTGATGTTGAAGATTTGAGTGTAATGTATGTGAATATGAATGTTTATATGTTAAATATGTAAATACATGAAAATTGTGAGGTATGCATGTAAATGTCCCAAGAAAAAAAGGAATTTGCCAATGTGCCCCTCAAAATGCTTGGATACAACTAAAGGTTCTTTTCTATAAAGATATAGGGCTTGTTTGGAGAGGTTTAAGATTTTCCACTTTGATTGTGAAGAGATTTTTTCAATAATAGTTTATGGGAGAGTTACATGCATAACACCCAAAACACCCATATTTACAATAGTGCCTTCCGTGAATTTGCGTATTTGTGTATTTGTGTGTATCATGATCAAATCATTATGAATATGACAAACCAAAACTATGGGTTGAGTTTTTTACAAATTTCAATATATAGCTATTTATAATGCACATAAATGCATACACAATAATAAGAATATGAACCGTCTGATAAAAATGAAATGATGGACATGCATCCTCTAATATCGCGATTTACTTTAACACGAGTTTCATATTTACATTCATCCACTCAAACCTTTAATATCACATCAAAAATACTGCCACCACTGTCTTTCTAAAAGTGAAATACACATTTACATGACACCAAGCTATTATAACTATAAATATCAAACTTTGGGGGCTAGATATGTAAATACAAAAGAGTTTTATCGTTTGCATGTAAATTTCCCTTTTATTTTTATAGCAAGTTCTTACCTTTTGTTTCCTGCAGTGTGCATAGGCTCTTAGATAAGGAGATCCACCAATATCAACACTAAGAACTCCCTTCCCCATCAGCCTATGCCATAGCAATGCACTGTTCAACAGTTCAAAAATTTAAGAAAAAGAAAAAAAGCATAATTTGATTAAGCAGAAATCATATTTGTGAAAATTCAACAGTTTGTAAGGACTTGCCTGTAATAATCAGGATTTGGTATGAATGTTTCCAGGTCAAGAAGGCCATAATTACCACCAATCAATGTCTGTCTGCAGTAAACCTTTGTATTATACGTTGCTGCCATACCAAGCTGATCCAAATACCTAAACTTATGCAAAAAAAGGTTTAATTTTGAGCACATAAATATTAAATTTTCTTAGGCTTTTTTTGGTTTGAAATGTAAAAATGAAGAAGATGACATGATAACCAACAATTTATGAGTATAACATTGAAATTTAAGAAGATTTGCAACATACCACTCAATTCCTTTGTATTTAACATGTCTCACACCTAAACTTCAACTTTTACATGCATACCAACTTACCCATGCATGAAAAGGTGCATTTCACATTTTAAGAGTTTGGGCGGTATAAATGTAAAAATCCAAGTTTAGGTGTTAAATATCTAAATACATAAGAATTGGGTGGTATATATGTATGTAAATGCCCATCGAATTTAAAATATTTCTGAGCAATGTGAGATAATTAATTACCAAAAGCTGTTTAGAAAGGTGTTGGAGACGAGACGGCTGCCGCTGTTGTAGGCGCCGCCGGCTTCGCCGACCCAAGCAGACGACCACGGCCCGTGCTTCTGTATGGTGAGCTCGACGTTGCGGAACGTATCTGCGAATCGACTCAGATAATTGGGATCCATAATTCTGCTTACGATGTGAGGATCATTGCCTGAAAAATATGAAGCTCTCAACATTTTACATGAACACCGCTCTTTTTGAGTAAAATTTCATTTCTCGAAAGGTGGGGGGGTCTAATACAAATTTTGAAATTTATGTTGATTGAACTCAGGGATGGGATGCATAAACCATTTTAGATCAATGTGTAAAGCAAGTGTGTATAGAGTTGTGACAAAATAGAAAAAGAAAAGGGAATTTACATACCTAGCACACAATTCTTATGTATTTACATACCTTACACCTAAACTTTCATATTTACATATGTGGCACTTTGCTTTAAACCAATGCATGAAAAGGTGCATTTCATTTTTTAAAGTCGTAATGGTACGATTTTTTATGTAATATTAAAGATTTGAGTATTATGTGTATAAATATGAAAGTTTAGATGTGAGATATGCAAATACATGCGAATTATGTGTTATGTATGTAAATGCCCCAAAAGAAAAATATCAAGACAAATTTATGACTTTTTTTAGTAGTGGGGGTTACAAAAAGAATCTAGGGACTTTTACATGCATACCACTCAATTCCTATGTATTAACATATCTAACATCTAAACTTCATTTTTTATATCATATCACATCACAAACACCACTATTTTAACTTTAAAAAAGTGCAATACATTTTTGTTCATGCTTAGGAGGTGGCATTTATGTAAACATTAAAATTTTAAGTGTTAGATCTGTAAATACATACTAATTGAGTGATATGTATGTAAATATTTCTATAATCTAGTCTTAGTTACAGGTTGGGAAAACTTCCAAAGGTATCTCTAACACTACAATGGAGAAATTTATTTCCATTTTCCAAGAATAAAAGGAAGAGAAATTTATGGAAACACCATGTAATTATTATATTTACATATGTAACTTCTAAACTTTAATTTTTAACATATATGCCACCTTACCTAAGCATGAGAAGGTGTATTTCACTCATTAACTAGTGGCATTTTTTATGTGATATGAAAGTTTTGGTTGGTACAAGTATAAAAAGGAAATTTTAAGTGTTACATATGTTAATACATACAAATTTTGTAGAATGTATGTAAATGGCCCCAACTCACCAGCACCAAGATTGTATACATGATGGCTCATGGCATTAAGAACACCGGCTCCGGAAACCTCTAGAAGATCAGCATACCATTGTTGATTGTCGAAGAAACCGCCCGGTGCAACTATTAATGGCTTCGAGCGATACTTGTCATACAATTCATCGATGATGGCTTTAAGAACAATTAAATCTTTGGCATATTGCCGAGCGCCAACTCTAGCACTGACTCCATTTCCACTTAGCTCATTGCCTTATACACGGGAAACATCGAACCCATTTTTTTCGTTACGTGAAATGAAAGATTTGTGACAAAAAATGTAGAGTTGAACATCAATGTAAGTACGAGTATCAGTTGTAATAGTTCAAAATGGATTACCAAATTCCCATGAATCCACGGGATATCCTTTTGAAACGGTGTACTCCATAAAATCAAGAGCGTTGCTCGAGTTCCAGGGGCCTTGCCAGAGACCCTTTCTCCCTTGATGCCTCCCATAAAGGGCATTAAGACCAAATGTCACAATAGCTCTGCAATCCCCATGGATTTTTAGTTTTCTTTATTCTAAGGGAAGACCGACTTTTTGGCCAAAAAATAAACTTTGAGACCTCAACCTAATCAAAAGATGAAAAATGAAGTTGGGCATTTACATATGCAGCACACAATTCTTATGTATTTATATATCTCACACCTAAACTTTTATATTTACACACATAGCATTCAAATCTTTAATATCATGTCAAAAGTAGCACTATTGTCACTTTTAAAAATTGAAATACGCATTCTCATGCACAGATTTAAAGCACAAAAGTGCTATGTATGTAAACATGAAAGTTTAGTATTAGATATGTAAATACATAAGAATTGTGTGATACGTATAAGTTTACATCATAATACTTTTAATGCATAAATTTCTTCAGATGAATCGCACTGAAACACAGCATATAAATCAATTAGGTGCTTGAGGAGAAGGAAAATGAATGTTATGGCTCTAAGCCCATACTATACAAAGTATTATTTGCTTTAGCACAGTTTTACCCATCATAGTGTAACTTCCTAGAATCGAGATGCACAAATAAAACACATGTTAAAGATGTTAGCCTTTGTTACTCACTGTGATAAAATAGGAAGATTTACATACGCACCACTTAATTCTTATGTATTTACATATCTAACACCTAAACTTTAATTTTTACATGAGTCATTTTACATATGCATGAAAAGACCTATTTCACTTCCTAAAAGTTAAAATAATGATATTTTTTATGTGTTATGAAAGGACCGGGTGATTTAAATGTAAAAAGTAAAGGTGATAGATGTGTAAATACAAAGGAATTGGGTGGTACGTCTGTAAATGCCCCAAAAAAATATTAGAAAATCACTATACCATGGAGTATATAATATGCATTTATTCTTCATTAACTATGGTTCTTTTCAGTTCTTATTTTGTTGCTCTTGTAACTGTCTTGCAAGCCTAAAAATTGGCAGCGTTACATTTCACCAGCCTAGCCAAAGGGCAATTTTGTTTTTTATTAGCCTAAGGGCATTTAGTCTTTTGTGATTTATTATTGTTTAGTATAAATAGGGTTAATATGCATTCGGTTAGAGGGAAGACATAAAATTGTGGTTGCGAGTCTTAGGGCTAGGATTTGGGAAAGACTTCCTACCTCTCAAATAGTATGATTTAGGAAAGATTGCCTATCTCTCAAATTATAGGTGTTTATCTTTTATATATTAGCGTTGAGTTATTTGGTATTCTAGATATAAAATTATTATTGGCCCCAGTAAAAGATAGGAAGATTTACAAACAAACCAATCAATTCTTATGTATTTGCCCATCTTACACCCAAACTTTAATCTTTACATACATGCTACATTCCCCATGCCTGAAAAGGTGTCTTTCACTTTTTTTTTAGTTAAAATGGTGATATTTTTTATGTGATATAAAAGATTTGGTTGCATAAATGTAAAAAAGTAAATTTAGTTGTTAGAAATACATACGAATTCGGTTGTATGCATGTCAATTCCCCAAAAAGATATAAAGAAGAAAACCAGAGGTGAAAGAGTAGGAACAAGTAGAACCCAAAACACACGGAATTTACCCAGTTTTCTGAAATAAATGGTTCAGCTCATCCCATCTTTCCGTGCTCAAACAGCCTTCCGAGAAACCGAAGAGGCCACCGGATACATAGGTAAATGGATCGCATGACGACTCTAAGCTTCCAACACCATACACAACCTGGTCTTCTAAAGAACCTCCAACTCTTATTCGTAATGGACTAAAAGCTAAAATTCAAAAAGAAAAAAACAAAACAAACAAAACAAAAATTGAAGAATCATTTCCATGAATGCAATGAACCATACTGAAACTAAAGCGAGAAAAATTAAAATCATATTATGCAGTTGTCTAATAATCTAAGGGTCTGTTTGAGATCACTTTCGATATGTATTTTTTATTTTTTATATTTATTCTGCTTTGTTTATGTTTTCACTCCAAATAAAATATGTTTTTTATGTTATAATATGTTTTGTTATTCTAAGAAATACACAAAACAACTTTATATATTTGGAATGTTTTTTAAAATGAATTATTTTCTTAAAAATAAAAACATGCAAAAATTGCAATAAACAAACATATTTTTAAAATAAAAGCAAAACAAAAATAAAATGTAAAAAACTAAAGTGATCCCAAAGAAGCCCCAAGTGAATAAAACAAATTAAAAATTTTAATCAACAAAATTAATGAGGCGAACATGAAACATGTGAAAAAACTAGACCAAAATGATAATGATAGTGATTAATTAGCTATAAGAATGAATACAATCTGTGTGAAGTAACCAAGAAGAACAACATACCTTGGATGGACTTAGAAAGATAAGAATGGTTCAAGTCCTATGAAACACAAAAACCAAATTTATAATCAATCACTCAGCTTCCAAGCTTCATAAAGATAGGGGCATTTACATACATTGCACGCAATTCTTATGATTTACATATCTCACACCTAAACTTTCATATTTACATGCAAATCACTAAAATCTTTGATATTACATCAAAAATAGTGCTATTACCACTTTTTAAACGTGAAATACATATTTTATTGCATAGATTTAAAGCACCAAAGTGTTTTGTGTGTAAATATAGAAGTTTAGGTGTGAGATACATAAATACATAAGAATTGTGCGCTACTTATGTAAATATCCCCAAAAAGGAAAAATAAAATCTTACTAAGTTTAAAACAGAAGCATTTCCCCATGGGCATTGGTTGTAATTACACTTCTCATGTGGCCACCAATCAAGAGTAGCACACACAAAACTATCATCAATTTCAGCTTCTATAGCAGAACTCTTGATTACAATTGTTACATCATTTTTATCTTCTGACAAATTTGAAGGAAGAGAGAAGAGGAGCAGAACTAAGACGAGCTTAAATGCCATGCCTTCAGCTCTCATGGCTTCAATAAGATAGCTGAAAAGAAAATTACAGCAAACAGTAATTTCTCTCATAAATAAATTACAAAAAAAAGTGAAGATAAGTCTTTTGTTCTAAATAATATAGAGAATGATTGGTAAAAGATTTAGGGGCTGTTTAGTTATCTGAAAAGAAAAATGTAGAGTAAAATAGAATGCAGTGTGATATAATTGTAGTATAATATGCCTCTAGGATTTATTAAATCTTGCCAACACCAGAATTTGGATTTAACAAATCCTGGAGTTAAGGAAAAACATACAAGAAATTGAGAAGGAGCTGGATTCCCTGAATCCAGGATTTAAAAGTTGTCATTTTTTTGTCGGGCAAGATATAAGTTAGATCCAACTTAAACATGTTAACATACAGCTGACAGTTACAATAACACAATATTGCATAGAATATATCTAAAAAAATGAATTTGGCATAAGATAATCAAAACAAACAATCATTTGTTTCTCTCAGCTATTTTCATGGAGTATTTTCTAAGGTTAAATGTGATAAATATTTTGTTCTTCTCATTGAATGCAGTCTAAAGAGCTCTACAAACAAAGCAAAGTAACAAATCAACAGATGACAAACCAGGAAAAAAAATTACATGTTAAATCCAAGAGCAAGTATCACTACAGATCTATATTCTCATACAAATCCTCATAACAATCTAAGATTCCACTCTTTTAATAAACATAAAATAAATTCAGGAAGCATTTCAAAATCAAAATTTACCCTTCCAAAGGAAACAGATAAAAATAACAAAGTCGACACAGAAAACAAGATGCGAGCTTTTTGGTCACTTAAAAATCAAACACAAACAGTGGCGAGAAGATGAAAGAAATCCATTATTCTCAACTTCTCATCATAAAAGCCATAATAAATCGAAAAGATTTCGCCTTTAGCATCAAACAAAACAAGAACACCATAAAAATAAAATTTTTACAGCAAAACTCATCTCTGAAATCACCTTTTTTATGAAAGAAAGAGTGAAGTGTGAGAAAATCTGCGTAAAATACAAACCCCAGCTCGAGCTTGAGGTTTTTGATCGCCGCAGTTGCCTCGCAGAAATGGATGACATTAAAGTTCTAATTTTTAATTAAGATAATAGGTCAATGAGGAGGCCGCAAAGTTTTAACTTGAGTGACAGTACTGTTTTGGCTGGCTGCTCCGGCAATCTCCATGATAGTGCTGTTTTGCTTAACCTGTAATATTTTAATCTGATATCAGTGTTTTGTTTATTTATTTATTTTTAAATCGTGAATATTGTGTAATGTGATGTAGTAATAATTTTTGGGGGCATTTACATGCAAACCAGATACCACGCAATTTTTATATATTTTTATATATAACATCTAAGTGTTCATATTTATATATACAAAAGAATATTATTTTGTATATAATTAGTAAAATGGGAGCTTATTAGTATCTATTTAATATATACAAAAGAATATTATTTTGTTAGAGAACCCCTATTATTGATGTATTGTATTAGTTGTTTTGCATTAGAAAGGATAATTGTATGACAGGATTGCGGTGGCATAGATATCGGAGCAGAACATGAGTACATGACAGATAAGATGGGTATGCAGTTAAAGTATATCAAGGTTCGTAAACAAACTAACTTAATTCATCCAGCAGGAAATTTAATGTCAAAGTAGGAGGGAGCATTTCAGAACCTTGTTGGGTCTTTCATCTAGTCAATGGGCCGATCGACATGGTGGACGAACGAGGGAAGGCCATAAAATTAGTCGAATGAAAGATACCCACAGAGCGAGTTGAACGAATGACGGCCTACCACTAAACAACTAGAATTTGAGGGGAATTCATAAACAAGCTCGATAGAGGATTCTTCATGTGATCCCAACATGGTTTAGCCCCACTATCGAACAAATAAATGTGATCCAACGAGCGAAAGATTAACGTTATCGACCAATGAGTTAGCATATTTAAATATATTGTATAAATGATTTTAGTGCCCCTAATATTCGTTGTACAGAGAGGGAGCATAAAGATAATAGGTTATTCATGGCACATCCTATACCTATAAATAGGAGAACATTTCTTGATAAAAAAACTTTGGACACTCTTATTTCTATTGTTTATCTCATTTCTCTTACTCATCCTTCCCTTCCTTGCATGATGTATTCCTTGGGTGTGATTCACAGACATATCTGTATTCAATTACCTAAAAAGTGCGGTGAGTGTGAAATCATACCACCAACAAAAAGAGGAGCACAACACAACGACAACGTAGCCATCCAGGAGGCACGAGGCCTAATCGTGGATGTGGATAACATAAGGGTGAGTGTGCGACAACAAGTAATGAAAATGAAGGAACAATTGATGCTAAAAATGAGGGAACGGATGATAGGTGCTTTTCAAGAAGCCCTAGCCGGAGGAAGCAAAAATGAGCATTATCAAAACCCTCAAGAAAATAACCTCCAAGAGCCTGATCGTCTGGGTGGACCAGAGACCAATGATAAACGAGATGAACGGGTACCCAATTATCAAAAACCTCAGCCAATAGAAGAAAAGGGTGACAATTCTCATTATCAGGATAGCACCGAATCGGCCCCGATAGAATGACACCACACTGTGCAAACCACAGCCCAATGTCATGTTGAAAATGCCTTATCTCAATAGATTTTTGAGGTCGAACCCTCAGCAAAGTTCAAACCCCCCAACCTTAACACGTATAAGAATCACAATAACCCAGCTGACCATGTAGCCGCTTTCGAGTCGACCGTCAAAATATTGAAAATCACTAACGGTGACGCTTATCCCTTATTACGTTGAGGGAGTCAGCCCTTTAGTGGTTCACTGCCCTCCCAGCAAGAGTGGTCCCATCTTTTTTTGAATTTAAGGATTCTTCAACCTTGGGCAAGGCGGTCCTCCAACATCCTATCCTAGTGGGTTTTAAGCTTCCGAACATTGATTCCTCTGAAGAGGTAACTAACCCCTATGATTAATGTTTCTTGAGCGTGCCTCTGATAATCATAGCTTACATATATGAAATGATATTTTTTGTGTCATCATAAAATATGTATAGTATGTGTTTACAAGGCTAATGACTCAAGTTAAATGATATTTTATAAGAGTATAAAAAATATAAATATTCATTTATGATATATACATAATTAAAAAAAAAAATCATCAACATCACCCCCTATATTTTAATTGAAGATGCATTTTATTACTCATTTTTGATATTTGGGAGATAAATAAAAAAATGATGCAAGTGTTCTTATGTACATAGCAAGGTTTGGGTTGCATTTTATGTACATGCCCCATGACTCGTGGCCTTATTAGGGTTTAGAGATCGCCGGCTGGCGGTTATCCGCAATGTCAATTGCTTCTCCGTCGGCGCTCCGTCGATTGCCGAGAGGTTCTTGCTCTATTCTCCAACTGAAACTCATCTTCCCCTTCCGTCGCTGCACTCCTCTCTTTGGTGCGGATCGCAGATTCCATGGCAACCGAGACGGTCTAGGTTGCTGCCATACTCTCATGCGCTCTCCAGAAGTTCTGTTCAGAGGTGAGCCCAAACGAACTTAACAAAATCTGCTTTCGAACTCAGCTCAGAGATGGTAGAAGGAATTAAACTATTGATAGTTCATTTTGCTTGCACTTGATTGCATAAAACACGGCTACCTGAGATTGTTATGTTATTGATTCGTCTGATTTTGTTTTGAGTTCCATTTTTTGTGAGTGGAGATTCAGTAATACTGTTTTGGATTTAAGTCGGATGATACATCTAATTGCCGTTAACAAAATCGGCAAGCTTCTCATCAATACATTTTTGGGAGGGGGATACAATCTAATTGCCATGGAAGGAATTGCTTTATTATTCATTTTGGGTTACAGGAGAATAGCCGTTAACTTTGGGTATTGGTGGAACTCCATTTAGTGATTATTTTTTTATTTTTGGAAGAATTACATACAAACCAGTTAATTCACATGTATTTACATATCTAACACATAACTTCAATTTTTGCATATATGCTATCTTATCTATGCATGAAAAGGTATATTTCACTTTTTGAAAGTTAAAACAATAGTATTTTTGATGTGATATGAAAGATTTAGGCGGTATAAATGTAAAAAAAAATAATGTTTTGGTGTTAGATAAGTGAATAGATAAGAATTGGGTGGTATGTATGCCAATGCCCCATTTTTCTGTATTTGTTGTCATAAGTTTTGGGACATAGTATTGCAAACGTTGATGTATTTTTGTTCTTCTCATTTGTAAGCTTATTCATTTTCAATCACTTATATTGTCCTCTACTTTATTAACATTGGTTTCGTTTGGTTTGTAAAAGCTCCTATCTAATTAAGGTTAGTTTTTTGGCGGATTTTTTGATTCTTGAGAACATTTGGAAATATAGAACCATGACCTAAGCTGGCTCGAAGGGCTCAAATCATCAACCCCAAAATGAGCACCAAACATCAAACTTTGCCTTTGAATGCTTGATTCACCGACCAACTAAATCGGATTGAACTAACCTCGAAGGGCCCAACTCATCAACCCCATAATGAGCACCAAACATCGAACTTTGCCTTTGAATGCTTCATTCACCGACAAACTAAATCGGGGCCTCAATGGACCTAAACAACGTGAACTAACCTCAAAGCATACCCAACCAATCGGAACCAACTCAAGCCGTAATGAAAGAATGTTGATAGCTTTCTTTACTCCATTGCCCTTTGTTGTTGTTGGCTACATCAACTATTGATGAGAAGCTTGCGCCGATGGACTCCCTTGCCACCATCTTGTTCTCAAATGATTATTATTTTAGGAAATTCTTTGAATTATTGTTCCTACACTCTTTTTTGTGCGCCTCATCTCAAATTTTTTCTCTTAGGGAGATGAATGACACTATAACAAATTTCATGGACATTGATGCTTTTTCTGTTCTATTTAAGCCAGGTTGAGATGAATTCTCTCAAAATTTTTGTCATTGTTTGGCTATATTAAGCTTTAATTTATCATGATTATTGCAATTATAACATTGTTGCAAATAACTTGTTTCATCAGATCATTGATCAGAGATGGTGTTAGCGCTATGGGTTTGGGGCAATCTAAGTTGGGTGGGATAACCCATGGTTTGGACCCATTCAATCTGAATATAAACAATTTATGATATTAGGATTTCTGCAATCTCTCTCATTAAGTCAATATATGCATGTAATTTGGAACATCATGCGACCAAACTAGTCCTTTCCTAGTTTATAAGTAACCCCAAATTGATTTCATTTTTATGTAACTTTTGAGCTTTGGATCAAGTCATGAACTTCAATAGATGATCTTTGGAGGTTTGATTTGTTGGCGATTTCTAATGATGCAGCTGAAAGAGCTGCTAGCTAAAAACTCTGAAAGGTGCAACTTTTACTGATTGCCGGAATTACATAAACTTGTTGATGCTCGAATGCTTGTGGATATGCTAGAGTTTATTGCTAATTGCTAATACTCTTAGGATCCACTTTTTTGGTGACATGTTAACTTTGGTGCCAACACCTAGAGGTTTTAAGGATTGGACCGGATCGCCGGGTTCAACTTGCTAGACCGTGAATCGGGCATATGGCCTGTCCAAATAGCCTCAAAGACCATTTTCGAATTCAACCGATGAAAACCGTTATGAACTGTCAATTGAACCGATGAATCGGTAATCCAGTCGCATTTATATAGAACTGGCCAGCAGGAATCACAACCCAAATCCTTTTGCAAGGTAACTCTAACTAGATGTGACTCCAAAGTCCAAATAAGTAGTTTTAAAAAGAGATCTTCCAAATTCGTGCATCACCATTGAAATCAACTACTTGAACTGAACTGGATTAAAGGTTACTTAGGCTAGAAATATCATAAATAAAAAGAACACTTATTTAATAGATCATATAATCACCAAAAAATTTCATATCAATTGAAAGTGAAATTTATGAAATAAAATAAAGCCAAATAATTGAAATTAAGGTTAATTTGATTAATACTTTTGTTTGCTCTATATTCTAGTTGAGTTAAAATACATAGATTTCTATTAAGTAGAGAAGAAGGAAATTTGTTGATATCAAGTTTAGCATCTCAAAAATGGTAATATTAGGATGAGTATATTAAAACTAGGAATGCCAGAGTGCAAACTGTATTTATTAGTAGGATGATCGAAGTATCACCGCGTGGAGAAAAGCTAGTTGAAAATAGACATTGTTAGTCTGAGCATGTGTGATCATGAACAAAGATGCACCAATATGATGAGCAAGTTGGACCTTGGGATAGCTTAGGCAGGGAAATGTGTAAATCAATGTTAACTTTTTAATTTTTGTAAAAGAATGTTCAAAATAATATGTCCATCTTATATAGGATATAGTACATGCAAGGACTCACAAGGCTAACACCATATAGCTGAGCATCATGATATTATTTCAGTGTTTGGGAATTGAAATGATATTTTGGAATCTCCATTCTGTTTTTATCTATTTTTAAGTCTTAAAGATCTTAAGTTAGAATAACAAGTCTCATGGCAGTGTTCTGTAATGCACAAAGGTAAAGCAAATCATACACATTTTACTATAGTTGACATTGGCTGTTTCACGCAATATAATATTGTTTTGTGAGCAATTTACCAAATTATTTTCTTTCCTTTCATTTCCCTCACATGTAGAATAAGGATGATAAAATTAATGAGAATTTAAGATGATTGTGAACCATTTGTCAGTGCAACTTCATCTTCCTCCAAATATAAGTATAAAAAATGATCTTAATCTATTAAAATTAAATGAAAACTTGACACTCAATAGGACTAGATAAAAATGATTCATGTAGCCAACCAACCTTGGTGAGATAAAGGCTTGTTGTTGTAGTTGTTGTCCAATTTATTTTTTGAACTCTTAAGATGGGAGCTAAAATAATCCCACCATTACAAGTCACGGAAATCGTAATTAAAACTAATAGATGGTGTTAAAAATGATGGTATTTTAGAAATTTACATGTTAAAATTTTTATAAAATCTAATAAATAACCATCTTTTTCTTAAGTTTAGGAGTAAAATTATCATTAATAATTGTTAAAATTTTTAAAATTCACATGGTTTAATTTTATCATGGATCATCTAAAAATGAATATTGGGATTATCCCAAATAGGATAAGTAGGAAATTAGATTTTCAAAATATTTTAAGATCTAAATTCCTAAAATACAGCTTTTCTTTAACACAATCCATTAACTTCTAACTCTAATTTCTATTACTTGTAATAAAATAATTTTCTTAGCTCTTATTCTATTAGTCTGGGAATTAAATTAGACTTTTATTTTATTTTGTCTTATCCCGACCGTAAATCAGGTGATCTACGATCAGGATGTATTTCAGTGGGCTACACCTAATTTTTTTTTTTTTTAAAAAAAACTGAAATATATGGGTCAGGATCGGTCACCGAAATAATTTCTACATAAATAGTTGGGGGTCGCAAGTTTGATCCTTCTCTCATTATGCAGTGCACTTTGGTAAAATGCCTTATTTTTCTAAAATTTAAAAATGCAAAATTTTTCAAAAAAAATTAGATCTTTTCGAACCTTTTCATTAATTTTCCCAGCATCAAGGTACTATGCTCGAGATCACAGGCAATACGACCTCTTCAACAATCGAAACCCTGGCGATCAAGAATTCAGAAGAGCATGGGCACAAGATGTGGATGACGATGATAGCTTGTGGACAGCGAGTGACGAAGATGAAGATGACAGAAAAGTCGACATCAATCTCAACAAAGAAATTAAAAAATTAAAGAAGACTGCCAAGGAAAATGCCGAACTTGTCGATGCCGATGACAGCGATGAATTAAGAAGTCTTTGTTCCGAAAGCGATGAAGAGATGAACCTTTGGAGCGGCACTGAGGATGATGACGATGACGACATTCCTACTGAGCCGCACCCGAACGAGCGGAGTGATCCTTACATCGACAAATTGTTTGATTTTGAAGCGACGCCGAAGAATCGAACTTTTGCGGACATAATGGATGCCGTCAATGCTGAAGACAAACCTCCAGAGCTGTCTCCGGGACAACAAGCGAGAAAACTCGCCGTCGAGAATGCGTTGAAGAAGTTGAAGAAAGGACCGGATGGGCGCTACATTAATGTGTGGGAGGTAATGAGTGATGTAGACATTCTTGTTGGGGCTTTTGAAAAAATTGTTTCAGGTCCTGAGTATGCAGAACTGCGTGAGGGTGGACCAAAAAAGTTAAATTTGCAGTTTTTTAAGGATATACAGGCAAGAATGAGAGACCCAAAATTTCAATTTTCTCCTGAGTTGAGGCTGAAACCAAAGAGCAAATTAGTGTCAAGAAAAAAGTGGCAGAAAGTGCAATCCAGAAAAAGAAAAGATGAAAGGCGCTAGAATGAGGTATCTATTTTAGTCGCATTTGCATAGCTCACATTTCTAATGCATTTGCATATCTCACATCTTAAATTTCATATTTATGAAATTTTTAATCATGTAAAAAATAGCACTATTATCACCTTTTAAAAGTGGAATATGATTTTTCATGCATAGATTTATAGCGCCAAAATGCTAGCTATGTATGTAAATACGGACGGTTAGATGTGAGAAGTGTAAATTCATAAAAATTGTGTGCTAACTATGTAAAATTCCTTTTATTTTATGCTTCTACTGGTTGATACTAATCTTGCATTATCATTATTTTTCAAACGATGTCTGTTGTTAAAATTTTCTTGTGAAAGTTCAGCCAACCTATTGCTGCCTTACTATTTTTGTTCGGCAATTTTTGTTTGGGGCATTTACGTGCATACCATCCAATTTCTACCTATTTATATATCTAATATTTAAAATTAATTTCTTTGCATTTATACCATCCAAATCTTTCATATCACATAAAAAATATCACAATTTTAACTTTGAGATAGGTGAAATACGCCTTTTCATGCATAAGTAAGGCAATGTATATGTAAAAATTAAACTTTAAGTGTTGGATTTATAAATATATAAGAATTGAGTCTTTTTTGTGTAAATCTTCCTTTTTTTTGTTTTTGTATTGCACGAAGAATCCTAAAACAAAATGATAACTAACACCCCTTGAAAAAAGAATAATGATCAAGTGTGATAAATGTGGAAATCATTTGGTAGCATAATTTAAATAGGAAGCTATGAATTTAGCATAAATCCAGCCAAATATCAAAAAAATGAAAATTAAACCCAACGCTACGTCAGATTGAATTTTTTCGCATTCCATCTTTTCTTCCCGCGTTCCGTTTTGTTTTGGACGTTAATCTAGATTTAGTAAATCCAATTGTGCGACGGATTTAAAAATTTATTTATGCCGTCACTCACAAGCTCATCTTCGTCGCTCACAAGCTCATCTCCGTTGCATAAGTAAGGCAGTGTATATGTAAAAATTAAACTTTAAGTGTTGGATTTATAAATATATAAGAATTGAGTTTTATTTATGTAAATATTCGTTTTTGTTTTTGTATTTTATGAAGAATCCTAAAGCAAAAAGATGACTAGCACCCCTTGAAAAAAGAATAATGATCAAGTGTGATAAATGTGGAAATCATTTGGTAGCATAATTTAAATAGGAAGCTATGAATTTAGCATAAATCCAACCAAAAATAATAAAAATAATAAAAATTAAATCCAACGCTTCTTTAAATTGAATTTTTTCGCATTCCATCTTTTCTTCCCACATTCCGTTCTCTTTTGGACGTAAATCCGGATTTAGTAAATTCAATTGTGAGACGGATTTAAAAATTTATTTATGCCGTCACTCACAAGCTCATCTCCGTTGCACAGCCTATCAGATTTACTAGATTTGATAAATCTTATTTAACGTAAATTTCGTGTTATAGCCAAACACCGCCAAATGAAAGTCCATTTGGGGCGGCTTTTTCATAAATTTGCTGTCCAGATCACTGCGATAATTTGTTTCACTACAACTTTTCTTTTGCTTTTTAAAAATTTTTATCATGAGAAACTACTAATTATAACTGCATCTGTTAGGTTGTGGTACACAAGAGAAATTACTGTATGAATTTTTCATTAGTAGCACAACAACTTTCAAATTATCTGTATTTGTTGATTTGTTTACAGCAATTTTTTTTCTTACCAACAGCTGGAAGCACCTCAAACATCCATATGTTTATTTAGTGGAAAATTTACATACCTACCCTCAAAGTTATGCATGTAAATCAGAATGTTTAGGTATTAGATATATAAATATATAAGAATATGTGGTATGTATATAAATGCCCCATTTTAAATTTTTTGCATTAGCAGCTGAATGGGTTAATGTTGTTAATATTTCTGTCACAGTCTCTTATCCTCATATTTAACTTAGATGGATTTGTATATGCTACAGGAAGGTTTATTGGCACCATTTGAAGCTTTGATGGCAAGTTGAATGTAGTATCAAGTTGTGATCTCCACTAAATGCTAGTAAGCATAAAGAAAATTTTGGCAAGCTACAATTGTAAAGCCAAATCCGCCTGATTGAGGTTTAGGCCTTGATGTATATGGGTTGAGTTTGAGTCCGAGGCTAATCGGTCGGCTAAGAGGAAATCATCACATCTAAATCATCACGAAAAGCTCTCCAAAAACATCAAAGCAAGCATGTTCGACATTAGAGCTGTTGGTTTAATGTCATTGAGCATCACATTTGCTCGCTTAGCTCACCCAAGATAGTCAGCCTCAAGGCCAATCACACTTAATCATTCAAGGTACTTTTCCGAGTTACTCATTAGAATTATGAGCCGATGGCTTCATTTGAATTTGTTTCACGTGTGAAATTCGAAGTACGTTGCTTATGTAATCAAATAGTTGTATGATATCAAGGTTCATTTTATGATGAGCATTGATTAATGCTTGTGATATAATTTTATTTGTGTGATTGATGTGTCGTACTTTAAAATTATGGGAGATTTAATTGACATAGGTTAAGACGTATTACGAAGATTTCGCATAACCAGTTTGGATTTATGTCGAACAAGTATACTATGAAAGCTTTACGTTTATTGAGAGGTTTGATGCAGAACTTCTGAGAGAATAAGGAGGGTCTATATATGATTTTTATTGATTTAGAAAAAGCTTATGATAAGGTTTCAAGCGATATCACTTGGAGAGTTCTAGAGAAGAAAAGTGTTGATATGACTTATATTCAAGTCATTAAAGATATATATAGCGGAGCTGTTACTTGTGTTCGAACAAAATGAGGATTGACAAAATATTTTCCTATTTCGGTTGAATTATATTAGGGATCAGCTTTAAGCCCATATATTTTTGCTTTAGTTATGGATGCTTTTACTAGGCATTTATAGGAGGATGTACTTAGGTGTATGTTTTTCGTTGATGATATCCTTCTGGTGGATAAGACTAGAGAAAAAACTCGGAAAAAACTTGAATTATGGAGGTTTACATTGGAATCTAAAAGTTTTCGTTTGAGTAGAACTAAAATTGAACACATGGAATGTAATTTCAGTAGTGGTAGTTCTAGTGACAGAGTAGTAACTATCGGTGATGAAATTATTAAAATGTGTGAACACTTTAGATATTTCGGGTCTATTGTTCAAAGTGATGGTAATGGGATGTTATTGGTACAATTCACATTGGTTGGTTGAAGTTGAGGAATGCTTCGAGCCTATTGTGTAATAGAAAAGTACGACTTAGACTTAAAGGAAAATTTTATAAGATGTTGGTGAGACCTGCAATGCTCTATGGCACTGAATGTTGGCCTTTAAAAGAGAAGCATTTGAACCTTGAACCTCTCCCTTTGCCGGTTCAATCTCCGGTTCGATTTTAAAAAATAAAAGAAATGAAAAAATAAAAAACATAAGTAATCTCAAAATGCTCCTAAAATGATCTTTTAAGATCACTTTTTACTTTTATTATTTTTTATTTATATTTTAATTTAGAATAAAATAAATTTAGTACGGTGTAACTTATTTAATTTTCATAAAAACAATCAAAACAAATTTTGCTTTTTAAAATATATAAATACATAAAAACTATGTGCCATGTTTGTAAATGCTCCCACTTATATGAATTTGGCAATTTAGGGTCCATTTGGGACAGCTTATAAGTGCGGGCGGCGTTTTCAAAATCCTGCCGTACCTTTTGGTTCGTGCGTTTCGCCAGCTTATTTGAAACTGCGTTTGAGTTTTTATACTAAATGCAGGCCGCGTTTCAGGATAAGCAGCTTATCCCTGGTTATCGTGAAACGCGCAAGCTGCCCCAAACCGACCCTTAATGTATTAAAATTGTTCGACATTATTCTAAAAAAAAAATTGCCAGCTTTTAATTGTCGCTGTGTAACTGTGTTCATGGACTCACCCTAATCTAATATAAAACATTTATCGTAAATGGCAAAAAATATAATATATAAATGATAAATGGGGGCAATTACATAGAGGCCACCCTAAACTTGTTTATTACAAATCAACCACCCTCTTTTCATCCATTTTCAAATTCTCACTCAAATATCAAAATTCATGGTAAAAACCCAACCCATATTTTTCATTTTTTTATCAAATTCTCAATACTTTGATTGTGGCACGTATAAATACAATGGTTCGGTAGTTTAAAGAAGTCATCTGAGTGGTTAATTTATAAATTTTAATGTTTCGGGTGTAGGGGTGTAAACGAGCCGAATAGGAGAGAGCCCAGGCTTTGCTCGTGTTCGGCTGGTTTATATTTAAAGCTCAAAAACTGTTTTTGTGTACGGCTCGTTTGATTGATTAACGAGCCGAACACGAGCGTTCACGAACAAAGAGACGTTTTGACAACCCCAATCACATAGCCATAAGATATTAAGGATTTGAAAAAATTATTGTTTATATTAAAACAACATTTGAATCTAATTTAATAATTTTTATTCTTTTTCAATCAAAGCAGATGTAAAATATTTACCAGGGTTATCACCATAGAAGAAGTTTTGTATATATATATATATATATAATTAGTAGTATTTCAAGCCAAAACGAGTCGAACACGAACAGACAAATATTTATTCGTGTTGTTCGTGTTCGGCTCGTTAACTTAGCGAACGAGCCGAACCGAGTTTCTTAACTAGCCGAACACGAGCTATTCGTGAACAACGAGCTGTTTTGACAGCCCTATTCGTGTGATCTCTATGCAATTCTCTCTAAAATTCTATTATAATAAAACCTTAATATTAATATTTTGACCTAAAATTATTATTCACCTAAACCTTAATTTTTATTTATCACATAATTTTTAATATTTGTCTGTGAATCACACCCGAGATATAAAACATAAATAAACGGAGAAAGAAAAACACGAGAAGTATAATAATTATAATACTGTATTTCACTTCTCATTATTCATATATTTATGATAAATAGAAGTTACTATATGAAACATCTTAATGGTAATCATTACTATGACCAAATCTTTTCTCGTCGGATCATACTTTCACTCCCCCCATCAGGCTGGCGAGCCAATCATTAACTCTGTTCGGTTAGTCAAATCATCTGTCCCGTGCTGACTGCAGCTCTTCACATTCGTCAAAATTGATTTCTCAACACACGTCCCTGCTACGCCCGTCAGGGATCCTACTCAGCTTACTCCGATCACACAAAGATAAATTACACTAAACTTTGAAATGAATCCGATAGATAATATAAATAAATCTTAGCTATCATATTAAAAGACTCATACTTCAATTTTAAAAAAAATATTAGATGGAAGATAGATATATTCATATACATTTATTAAGAGGCATTTAATGATTTATCTTTAATAAAATATTAAAAAAAATTAAATATGTCTATTTATTATGATTGTGACCTACTTGATGCTTTATGAAATAACTATTTCTCCACAATTTATTACCCCATAATAATGTCATTTATGGCTTTTTTATTTTTCTATATTTGAAGTTGAGATAGTACAATTATATTAAAAATTAATAATTAAAATGTACTTTAAATCTAAATCATATAATTAAAATAATTCCTAAAAATCCACTGACATTGCACGTCTAATTTATATATAATTTACATGCATATGCTACAATTTATCTCTATTTACATATCTAATATTTAAATCTTAATTATTATATTTATAGCACATAAAATTTTAATGTAAGATTAAAAAAAATATGATTAGTACTATTTTTAGAAAAATAAAAATATTTTTGAGATCATTATATATAGACTAGTATAAATATAAATATCAAAATTTTAGGAAAAATTATTACATTAGTACTCCGCGTGCAGAGTTGGTTGCGGAGTCCGGCCTCTTGCTGACACGTGGAGGGCCGGCTCATCTACATAAAAAATGAAAACATGCGACCCGACCTAACTGATGCGTTACAGAGCCTAAACAAATATTTTTTGCATTAAATTGTTTTACGTTCTATAAAACAATAATAACAAACTAATGACACACTAAGAATATATTTAACACATAATAACATACTAATAACACATAATAACATAATTATACACTCCCTAGCCTGCGATATGACACACATGGAATATTCTCCACGTGCTATACTGCGGGCTAAATAGTGTATTTATTATGTGTTATTAATGTGTTTTGAGTGAGAGAATATTCTTATACTCCTAATAACACATGAATAACGCATAAAATATTCAAAATAACGATGAGGAATATTTTTATGTGATGAAATATTTTTATAATGCATCGGTCAAATCGATTCACAAGTTTTCATTATTTTTTTATTTTTTATGTTGGTAGAGCGATCTTCTACGTGTCAGCTCGGGATTGAACTCCTCAAACAGCTATATATGCCGAGTCCTGGTGTGATAATTTATTAAATTTAGAGGGTAGATATGTAAATATAAAAAAAAAACTGTGCGGCAGTCACGTAATTTTTTTATTCTTATTTTTTTATCCTGAAGCCCCATCGCCGACACACGTTTTTGACTTTTTGACTAAAATAATTAATAACAAATTAAGAAAAAACCAGCTACGTTTTTATCACATTCCCCGTCGTCTCTCTTCTTCCGTGCAAGATCTCGACAATCCCCGACGAGAAAGGGAAGAAACCTGCGGAGCACACGGATTCAATCCAATTCCTCGCACCCTAAAGAAGAGAAGATTCAACCTATCGAATCGATTGATATTACAGGATTCCCGCCTCATTGATCCCGACCCGTTTTTCCTTTCCGGCATCCGATGCCGTATTCGAATTGACGCGCGGCCGATGCGGATCAGTAGGAGCTTCTCCGGCGATCTGGAAGCGTGTTTTGTCGGCATCGGGGACGGGAGGGAAGCCGAGGAGCTGATAGGCAGGCTGCTACGATGCAGATTCGGTTCTCTCCGAGCATGAAAAGTATTAACATATCGACGAGCAGTAATGGGTTTCTTGATTTGATGAAGGTGAAGGTTGCAGCGCGGCATATTTCGTACAGGACGTTATTTCACAGTGTCCTTATTCTAGCTTTTCTTTTGCCCTTCGTCTTCATCCTCACCGCCGTCGTCACTCTCGAAGGCGTCAATAAGTGCTCCTCGTTTGGTAAGCGGGTTTGTTGATTTTGAATTGAGAAAATTGATGACAATTTTGGCTAGCTTCTTTTCCTCTAGGTGTGTGTTTTGCGCTTTTTAGTAATTCATTTGTTGCTGATTTTGATGCTTATAGGCTTAATTCTGCTTCCATTTGCGTTGCTCACTGTGATGAAAAGTAGACAGAAACGAGTTACCCTTGATAGATAAATGTCTTTCTAGAAATTTCAAAAGCTTAAAAGTTCTACATAGAGGACTTCGGCTGAGAAATTTTAAAAAATACATACTGCAGGAAACTCCTATTTCATGGAAAACAAGGGGCAAAATTTAAGCAGCAAACATATCAGGAAACAGTCCACAGAATTCAAGGCAGATTAATAATTTTTCAATGGCTTGTGAATACTCATGAGTGAGAAGCTTTGGAGCATAATCACAGAATATCCTTTTCAAATTTCTGTGGAAAAGTATATAATGGTCTTACAACCTCTGAGAGATGATCTAGCTTGTCATATAAAAAAAGCTATAATTCCAACACTATTGTAACATAATGTAAAATAATTTTATTTTAGTTTATAAAAATTTGTAAAATAATATTTAAGAAAGATAGGGAGGCATTAATTTTGAGACTATCCTTTGATTTTGAATCTGTGAAGATCACAAGGTTGCTTCTCATTATGTTGAAGGGGTCCATCATCAAACATTTTGTAATAGGATGTGTAATATGGTCTTGAAAGAAATTTGAAGTTGCACCCCATTACTTCTTTTGCCTGAAACAAGAGAAACACCATTTGGAATTGGAGCTAAGATCATATTTTTCTCTTTATGAAAAAAAATTGGATCAGGGTGTTCTGATCCAAATTTGTTTAATTTGATTTTTGAACTTTAGATTTGTTTTGGTGCATTACTAGTTTTAGTTGATTAGACATGTATTGCATGTATTTCGAAGCAAATTAATCTGATGACTGTAAAGCTTATCTTGAACAATTCTGAGAAAATAAATTTAGGCTCGAAATGTCTCTTTTTTTCTTTGCATCTTGCCAAATACTTTCATCTTCAACAACGTTTTCTTCTTTTGAATTTAAAACATGAATATCAATTTACTCTTCTAAGAAGGAAGAAGAGGATGTGGAATAGGTTTGTGAAACATTAGGAGAAGAAGGCTGAGCAATGTCATCTTGAATTTCCGTTTGTTCAGAAATGGAACTATAACCATATGAGAGTATCTATCAGTAGTCCTCCGTGAAGTGCTTGCATCAAAGACAATATATCTAAAGATGTAGACATTCGTTATAGTAGGAAAATTAATATTTTTTTCACTTTTCATAGCCAAGAAACATAGACTGGGGATACTTTTCTACATTTATGGGAGAAGCTATCATAAGTTTGCACGAAGCAAACTATACCAAATACTTTGAGATGATAAATATTATGTATTTACCTAGATTACTTATCCTAAGTTGAAATCATTAATAATACTTCTAAGAGGAGTTCTATTATTTATGTAAACAACTCAACTTACAAGTATGTTTAATATTCTTAGGATGAATCATGTTATGAACAATTTCTAATAATTTTTATTTTATTTTTCTTGCATCCACTTCTTGGTCTGTTCTAGAGTACCAAGGCTGCCATGTGCCTTTGAATTCTGATCTTACTAATAATATAAGAACTGGATAATTACATACAAACCACCCGAAACATTCATATTTACAAATAAAGTACTTGTGATTTTTTTGAACTATCGAACTGGTGTATTTCACTTGCCATGATGAAACTATTGAGAATTTGATAAAAATGAAAAGTATGGGTTGGAGTTTTACCATGAATTTTGATATTTGAGTGGGAATTTGAAAAATAAATGAAAGAGGTTGGTTGATTTGTAAATAACAAGTTTGAGGTGTTCTTTATGTAATTGCCCCCATAAGAACATCTTGGACATCAATTCTAAAATAAGAAATTTTATATTATAATAAATTTTTATGGGAAATATAAATGTAAACTAATTAAAATTGCCAAATAAAGTTGTTGTCGGTTTCTTAAAAGATGTTTGTGCATCTTGTCATATTAGCATTCAAAGCAAACAACTTCCAAATTCATTTTTATTCGAGGAAGGCCAGGAAAGAATTCTTGTCAACACCGAACCTTAGGTAGCTTAACCGTGATATTTTATCATGTCATAGAGCTGTCTTGTCATAGAGCAACAATTTAGTACTCAAGGATTCTATTAACATGACGATTCCTAGTACAAATAGGATAAAGCTTATTCACGTTTCTCACTTCAATGATAAGCTTACGAAAACATTAGTATTAACAAAGATCATCACTTTATCATGCTCAAATACTACATGTTGAAATTCAGAATAATGCATAATTATTTTTTTTTGATACGAACAGGGTATAAATAACCCGTACAATAAAAGAAATAATGGGAAAAAAAAACATATAGCATCTAATATCTCCAATTAATCAATTCATATTAATTATTTGGAGAAAAAAAAACATAAAATAGGAAAGCTTAAAATGATAAAAGAAATAAATCTAATCTCAGAAAATAAATCTAAAATAGGAAAGAAAATAAACTTATATTAGGAAACAAATTTAATATTCATAACTTCTAATAAGAATAAATTATTTTCTAATACTAACACTTTCCCTTAAATTGAAACATGGTTGAAAATCATGTTCAACTTAGATTTGAAAACATCAAACAGTGGGCGAGGAAGATTCTGTAAAGTAGAGCTTGAAGTCTTCATTCCGTACTACAGTGTTCTTTGCTGCAGTTCCTGCAGTGTCTGTAGTTAGGCCGAATGCTTCTATAGGTCATTCTGCAAGGGATTTTATATGGAAGTAGATAGCCTGCAGAAAAAACTGAGTTTTAGTTGACTGCAGTTTCTGTAATGTCTGTAAGTAGGTAGAAAGCTCATACAGGTAATGATGCAGGGGAGTTTGCAGGGAAGTTGACAACCAACTAGAAAAAAACTGCAAGGTATGGTCAGCAAAAAAAAAAAAGAAAAAGCTCTGGAGGTTGATCGGAAAAGCTTTGGAGGAGGCCTGATACATAAAAAAACTCTGGATGAGGGCTTGTTGCACGATAAGCTCTGGAGAAGGGTTTGCTGCAGGAAAGATTTCGGAGGAGGGCCCGATGCACGAAAATGTTCCGGAGGAGGGCCTGATGCAGTAAAAAGGCTTCGGAGGAGGGCCTTCTGCAGAAAGAATTTTGGTGGAGGGCTCCGGAGGAGGGCTTGATACATAAAAGACTCCGAAGGAGAACCTACAGGAAGAATTTCGGTGGAGGACGATTGCAGGAAAAGCTTTGGAGGAGGGCTTGATATAGTAAAAAGTTCCGGAGGAGCGTTTGCTACAGGGAAAAAACTTCGGAGGAAGAGGCTTTGAACTGAAGAGCGCATGCAACAGGATTCTTCTGACTACACATCTGGTGGCAAAGGAAAAAGAGAGAAGGACCTGCATGAAGTTTTTCGACAATAGGGAAGAAACTGACGGGGAAGAGCATGTAGGTCGGCTGCTGGGATTTCATTCAAGGATACATTCAATCTCACCTCTGTGATAGCCTTTTTCAAATCGTTTTGCAAGCAAACCAAAGATGAACTCGTATGTAGCAAGCTTCCCTTTGCTTCCAAATTCCACGCATGTGAAATGACGAAAGACGACCTGGAGACGGCTACAGCAGTAGCTTTCTATAGGAAGGAATAGCAGTTGAAATCTGTCGGGGGAAAATGGCAAAAATGGCTCCCCTCGTCTACTTTTGATGTGATGACATTTTTATAAAAATAACTTCTGACCGGTTGGGAGTTCCACTGGAGAGGGAAAGTTCCGCTCTCTGAATATCGATGTTGGCTCTTCGATTGGGATTTCCACAAGAGAGAGAAAAAGCAAATCACACCTAAGAAATTCTGCGGACAGAGAAAGCTGTATGAGAAAGGGCCGACACAGCTCAGGCTGCAGGAACCTATGCTGGATTTTTGTGGAAGAACAATAGGAAAGGGCAAGAAGCAGTGCTACATTTTAGGGAAAAAAAAACTACGTTGTTTTCTGTGACTGAAAAGTGCAACAAAAAAAAATTGTTATGTTTTCTATGGGAAAGTCCTCAGGGTAAGAACAACAAGAAGTTCTTGCGGGGAAGAATAGCGGGAAAGTATTGCGGCTAGAAGGGACAACAAAGAAGCAGCCAATACACAACTCATTAGAGAAGGGTCGCCAGTGAGAAGGGGTGTTGGGCAATAAAGATCTAACATAAATCTTGTCGGGAGAGGTCGCTGGTGAGAGCACAACAATAATCCACGATTGGTTGCCCACTTGATATACCCTCGACGAGTATCTCAAGGGCGTCTTCACCTAGATGCGCTCTAGTCTTGCGACAAGAAGGTCGAGACTAGAATCCAGGGATTGACTCTTCAGTAGAGGGAGGTTTGGCGACTAGAACTTCCTACCGGAAGGATCAGTGGTAACAACCTTTATAAAACTCGTAGGGAAGTGGGGAACCGATAGCAGTTAGAGTGACAAACGGCGGCAACTAGGGGAATTGGCGGCTATATATCTACATTGAAGATATGCAATAGTTCTTTATGGGAAAAAAATTGTTGGGCGGTTAACAGCAGAAAATTCTCCATGGAACAAATCTCTACTGAAGGAAAAACAACAGGAAGAAGATCTACTTGGAAACTGCCGCCTGCTTTCTGGAGGCCGGCAGAGTCTAACCTTTTGGATCGGGAAGGGTCAGCAGATAGGCCAAGCCTACTGGGAGAGAAGAAGAAAAAATTATTGTTTCAAATACCAAGACAAGTGCCCCTCCATTCTCGCACGGAGGATGGCAGGAAGGGATTCTGGTGGTTTTGGGAGAACCAGTGGCTTGGTTACAAAATTAGACTTTGATACCATGTTAAAATTCAAAATTATGCAGAATTATTTTATTGATATGAAAGATGTATAAATAACTCTTACATGACTTATAGAATAGGAAAGACAATAAGAAAGAAATAACAGGAAAGAAAAGATATAATACTTAATATCTTCAATTAATCAATTTATATTAATTATTTGGAGATATAGAAAATAATATAAAATATGAAAGGCTAAAATAAGAAAGGAAATTAATCTAATCTTAGAAAATAAATCTAAAATAGGAAAAAAAAAGTTATATTAGGAAATAAATTTTGTCCTCATAACTTCTAATAGGAATAAATTATTTCCTAATATAACTTCCAACACTACAAAATATTTCTTATTGGCTATCTGAGAAATTTAATCAAATTTTTTGTTATGCCAAGAGCATAACAAATATTATTAATTGAACAAGATAAGCTTGTAGATGAAGGAAAAGGTAAGTTTTCTGCACTTTTAAACAGATAAAGAGAATCATCAATAATAGCAATCAAATCGGATCCAAACTAAGAATGCAAAAAAATAAAATATTGTTTATGATCCATGATGATTATAGAACATTTACAACCAATGATACATTCACATGCAATATGAACATGAGAAAATCTAGTTAATAATAGACATATGAGATGAAATAGCCTATCTGCCATCATCATTTCATCTTAGGATCTTTATTTGATGCAACCTTGACTGCTTAGGTTTTCACTCTACAACCTTATTTTATGTGATCATGCTTCCCTCATCTATAGTAAGTTTTATTAAACTTGTACTTTAACATCTGATTAGGGTTTCATTTTTGTTATAGTCACTCAAATTTTATCTTGATTTTTATATATTTATATTTATAGAACTTTAGTCTTCTTCAATAGATATGGAAGTGGCTTTTTCTATTTAAGAGTTAAAAGACTTTTTTATAATGAATCAAATTTGGTGGTGTAGCCCAATCAAATATAGCTGTCACGCATGGAAATTTTTATTCTGAACATGAATTAAAACTCTATAATATTTATTGTTACCATATCGAGAACTTAGATCAAGAATATGAACTCATCAAATATTTTGGTTTTAAGAAAAACTAAGAGTTTGCAATGTTATCTTTGCTTCAACGGTGCAATGTTGCTCTACAAAGGTTGTGTCCATGCCTCATTGGTTATATAGTTGAGAACCAAGAGGAGATCCAACTCCTTTTCGGATTCCCTGATCCTTGAATTTGTAGATGGCGCTCCTTATAAATTATGACTTTTAACAATGATCGCTTTTCAAGCTCCGATACTATGTTGCAAACTCAACAAAATAAGTTAACCAAAATCAAAATAATCCTTATGGAAAATTTATTTTTCAACTGATTCTTACGATTTTTTTTTTAAATTTGTTTCTCTGATGTTTTTTCCATGCCTCCTTATCATGCATGGGTATTATGAACATGAGTATTGAGATTTTAAATTTCATGTGAACAATTGATATTGTGATTGTTTAATTGGCAAAATAATATGCTTGTTGCCAAAATTTTTGCTTAAATATGATTTATTAATGCTGCTTTAGTGTTTCGCCTAATTATTTTTATTTGTTTCTTAATCCAGATTGTTTAGGAAGACGGCTGGGTCCAAGCTTTCTTGGTAGGGGTGCTGATGATTCAGTGGTACTCAATGAACTTTTATTTTGATTGATTGAATTCCATTCAATATTGGGGTGGGCATGACCAAAGATTTTGTTCATTGCTACTTCAGACTCTATTTAATTGTCAAGAAATTTAAGCTCATGCACAGTGATATTTTTTTTTTAAATTTTGCAGAGGCTTCAGAGAGATCTATATACACTGCTTGATCAAGCAAATTCCGTGGAAATCCCACCTGGCCTTAGATTTCCCGAATCATTTGACGAGTTTCTTTCTGAAATGAAGCACAACAACTATGATGCAAATACATTTGTGGTCATGGTGAAGGGCACGGTAATTGGCTTAACATTTTTATCTCTTTTTTTTGTGTTTTATTTCAGTGTTGCAATTTATTCATAGGAAATTTACATACAGACCACACAATTTCTATGTATTTACTATCTAACACCTAAACTTTCATATTTACATGTATAACGATTTGGTGTGATAAACATAGACATGAAAAGTTGTCTTTCACTTTTAAAAAATAGGTGATAGTGATATTTTTGTTGTAATATTTAAGATTTGAGTGCCATGCATGTAAATGTGAGTTTAGGTTTTATATATGTAAATACATAAGAATTGCCCCTTTATTTATTTGCTATATCCAATGGTAGATTTTATGTTGTTCATTTGAAGTTGCGGTGGATATATGCTTGCTACGGCTTTTCTCTGTTTCTATTCATTGTGCTTCCAAAAGATGTTTTTTCTAAAGACTTATATAATTGCAAATAAGTTGGCTATGTTATATCAATTCTGCGTTCCGAGAAATAAAAAATTTTGTTGATATGTAAGTTGTATGTGGTGAAGGAGAGAATGTTATGATTGATATACTGTGATAAATTAAGCAATTTATTTTAGGAATAGTTAGATCTATATTTATTAAAGAGAAGGTGATTAAAAATATGTTAGGTGATTTGAACCTGCATAACAGAAGTTGAAAATACACCCATTAGGTGGGGTGATAAAATTTTTGTTGAAGTATTAGAATGAAACATAGGTATATCTATGATGACTTGGATAGAAGTTAAAATGATTTGCAAAGAATAGGTCTAACACTTCGTTCTCCAATGAACTTGAACGAATAGAAAAGTAGGTATCATAAAGCTGGCCACTAGTAGTTGGGATAAGGCTACAGATGATGATGTGATGATTATGATTGAAGTAAATCTATTGTTTTGATCCTTCTAAACTTTGGTAGTTGTTATTTTTGAGCATTCTATAGCATTTCAGAAGAATTAAAACGTTAACATCCTTGATTATATTAAATAATTATGAGCCAGGTGTGCTTAAAGGATGAATATTCCTCTTTTTTAGACATTGGATCTTCTGGAATTAATTTTACTTGATCATAAATATGTCTTCTTGTTTATTGATTCACCTGCCACCTCTGCTCTGTTTTTTTAGAAGTTGACTGTAGAATCGTGAAAATCATTGATGTACTATCAGGCAATCTAAAAGTTCACTGTGATTTCACACTTTCCAATTCCGTTAAAAGTTGTTTGTGTATAGATTGCCATGCACATGCTGCACATATTTATCTCATTTAACTGATTTTAAAGTGGCTTTCTATTTACAATGTTTAATACTTTTGCTATGCAGATGGAATATATGAATAGAGAAGTAAAGAAGGCCAGACTAGCAGAACAGTTGAATAAACATTTTGCAGCAATTGGTGTTCCGAAAGGTCTTCATTGTCTCTCCCTAAGATTATCTGATGAGTACTCTTCTAACGCACATGCACGGAAGCAATTACCGCCGCCTCAATTTTTGCCTCTTCTCTCCGATAATTCATTCTACCATTTCGTTGTTGCAACCGACAACATTCTTGCGGCCTCTGTTGTGGTTAACTCTGCAGTAAGGACTTCCATGAAAGCTGATAAGATAGTTTTTCATGTTATCACTGACAAGAAGACCTATCCAGCTATGCATTCATGGTTTGCATTACATTCTATTTCTCCAGCCACCATTGAGGTAAAGGGGGTTCACCAGTTTAATTGTCTGACAAAAGAGAATGTGCCTGTGCTTGAAGCTATAGAAAATCACCATCATGTAAGAAATCATTATCATAAAAATCATGTCACAGGGACGGATATAGATGATAACCCGAGGGTTTTTGCTTCGAAGTTACAAGCAAGGAGTCCAAAATATATTTCTCTACTCAACCATCTCCGCATATACCTTCCCGAGGTAATATTATCACCATTCACCAGTTGTATGTTTATCCTAGAGATAATAAAGGCAGAAAGTAGGCCTAGAGAGAGAGTATTCTTGTGTTTGAGCTCGGAATTAAACAGATGAACTTTGAGTAGACTGATAAAATTACCCCCTAACTATTTACATTGGATCATTTTAGTCCCATTGTTTATAAAAGTGTCAAATTAGTATTCTTTTAACATGGGCTGAATTGGTCCTAGGGTGGACTATTTTAGTCCCAATTAAAAATTTTGGGGAATAACTTGACATATTTATAGACTCTGGGACTAAAATGGACATATAAAAAGAGTTGGGGGATTATTTTGACACTTTCCTCTATGAACTCTTATTGTTTGATTTGAGGCTAATAGTAAAATATTTTATAGATGACAACAGAAGCAACTTAAGTTGAGGGTAAGACTTGGAGTAAGGTTTTTGTAACAATGAGTCAAAAAGTTTTAAATGCAGGTTACCTTGCTTAGTTCGTTCAAATCTTATGACTTCATCCAACCATTTTTTTTTATTGTTGACCAAGTTCATGGAGTTATTTCAATTTTTTTGGGGCTCAGCCTGCATTGCCGCTGATGAATAATTTAGCCTTCTAAGAACTTTTGTATTGTGAGTTCGGATTGCTTCATTCCTTACCAAGTTCATGAACATTTGAACTTTTGTAATTGAATCCTTCATTTATAAGTAGCTTAAGGATATGATTTGGACGAAGGTTTTGTAACAACGAGTCAAATTAGTTGAAATTTAACATGCAGGTTATTCTCTTGAATACTGCTCAAATAATGTGGAGTCGCCCAAGTTCATTTATTAGTTTTTCTGTTTTTTTTCTACTTTTCTGAAGCTGTTTCGTTTGTGATGAATACTCTATTCTATCAAGTTATGTGATAAGTTTCAATGCCTTTCTTACTACTATTTGCATACTAGGCTCTTACATTTTTTTTATATAAAAAGCCCGAGGGCAAATATATTAATATGAAAAAGATACAGAAATATTATATGAGACGGCCTAAAAGAAAACCCAACTCATACAATACAACACACACAAAACCCAGATAAAGCAAAGATACATAAAAGTAAAAAAACCAAAAAGCCACAAAATGACATAAAAGTGCTAGGGACGTCCCATTTTAGTCCTCTTACCTCTAGTTCTCGGAATTGAACCGGCTATTAAATTGGTAAGGTGAGTACCATTGCTCGTAGTAACCAAAGTATCATCCATCAGATTCCTGAGGTGAAGTAGATCTTCATTCTTTTTCTTCCTCCTGAATGTGTAGACTGCTATTCCTCATCCGATTCATCCGATGATTGACTCATTCATCTGATCAGTAGATTCAAAAGGTGACCGGACATGTGTAGGTCGTTGCACGTCATGATCCCCATGAGCCTGAGTAATATTAACATCTTTCTGAACCTGATGAGACGGTAGTGAAACGGTAGGAGTATTTCCACCTGTATTATCGGAGATAGGTTCTAGGGTAGACGGGGTTTGAAGAAACTCCCTCTGCCCCATGATAGGAGGTTCCAAAGATGGGGGAGCTACAATTTGGTACTGAAGAATAGTTGTTATATTACCTGCGGGGATAGTGACGTCGTCCGGGGTATCCTTGATATCCTTCTGATGATCAATAGTGTCAAAAACTTGAAGCTGATCAGGAGGAGATGAAATCACAGACTCTAGCGGAGCAGTTTGCTTTTCTGGTCTAAGTTGGGGGTGTAGATGGTGACATTAAGAACTTGAGTGTCCGAACATACGACAATTCGAACAATACGATGAAAAAATATTCAATGTCTACATTCTGCCAATATCCATGGTGTTGTGTGCCCAACCAGATTTCATCAGAAGCGGGTGAAGTAATGTCTTTCAACAACTTTCAACAAGTACTCTGGTAATGTCTTTCAACAAGTACTCTGGCTTCAGAAAGACGGGAAAGATTAAAAGTAGGAATGTCCGTCTTGAGTGGTTTTTTATAAGCTGAGGCAATAAACTACAATACTTTTTGAGAAAAATAATGAAATTTCATGCCAGGGAGACGAATCCAAATCAAAATGATTGGCAATTCCGTTTGTTAGTCAAAATACGCAGACCATTTCAGAATCTTCATTATTCTGTCATTAATCTAAATTATCCTTCTTGCAAAAAAGCGTGTGTAATCTTCTTCATTATCAATTTGAATAAGAATGTGTCTATCATCTAATAGTACAATTTTTCACTCCTCAACAAAGTACACAAGTTCCAAATTCTTTGCGAATGAGCTTCATTTTGGGATGATCATATAAAAATTTCTCTACCAAATTCAGACGACAGGAGGAAGCAAGTTGAATACCTTCAACTTCTGTAAAAAAAATGACAAACTTCTCAATCTTCCTACCAGGTTTCTTGATGTCCTCTGCTCACTCAAACGAATGAGGGAAAGATGATGATTTGGTGTGTCTGAGGCGTGGACCCCCGCAAGAGAAGCTGCATACGATTTGTCTGAAGTCATCCTCAAAGGTAGGTGCGGTGTTCAGAGAAGAAAGCAGCTCTGATAAAAAAAGGAAAAAATCGCGTCGAAATAGCCGAAGCTAAAAAAAGAGACCGTTGTGAGACGGGACGAGCACAGAGAAGCCGCATAAATCTCGTGAGTTGTACCCGCGAGACGGAGCTGCAGAACTCGCGAGCGGTACCCACGAGACGAGTCGCAGAGCCTGGAAGTCCCGAGCCAAGAAAACTCACGAGACAGGAAGACGGGAGACGAGCCTCATCTTAGAGCCGGAGAAGAAGTGGGGGAGACGAATGGAATCGAGCGTGAAGATACCGGAGAGGAATCAGCGAAGCCGTAACTGTTGCTAGGGTTTATATATTCATAGGAGGCGAACCTCCCATTTAAATATCGGACGTTTGAATTTGCAGTGTGAGATTTGAACTGCCCATTTTCTTTTTAATATCTTTTTAAGATGAGATGGCTACTAATAGATTCTTTCTTCTTTATTTTATTTTATTATTTTTTTTTCTAAATGCTTATTCCAATTGTATTGTAAGATGATTATAAATTTTCATTTCCAGCACTTAGTAAATGACCTGAAATTTGATTTAAGTTATAGCTGATATTTATAAGGTATTGATGGCTTTGATTAATAAAATATATTCGTAAATTCTGACTTTTAAGTGGTCTTTTGTAGGCCGTTAAAGCATCCTTAATTTTCCCCTTGTTTGAGGAATGATTAAATTATTTTCAAGTTTGATAAACCTGATGCTTAAGTAATTTTTTTCTCATGAATTAAACGTAATTGTATAATCTTGAGTATGAAGATTTTATACACTATGCTGACTGAGCTGCACTTTTAATAATATGTTGACCATGTTTTTTATTCTTAATTTAAACAGATGTTCCCAAGTCTCAATAAGGTCGTGTTTCTCGATGACGACATCGTTGCTCAACATGATTTGACAGAACTATGGAATATTGATCTTTATGGGAAAGTAAATGGCGCTGTGGAAACCTGTAAAGGAGAAGATAAATGGGTCATGTCGAAGCGTTTCAGAACATATTTCAACTTCTCAAACCCTCTGATTGCCAATAATCTAGACCCTGATGAATGTGCGTGGGCATATGGTATGAATGTCTTCGACTTGAAAACGTGGAGAAAAACAAAAATCAGAGAGACTTATCATTATTGGGTAAAGGAGGTAATTTCTGACTCATGTTAGTTTTCATAGAAATTGCTCAAGCTTCGCGCTGATCATGTCTGTAATCTAAGGGCTTGTTTGGGTTTTTTTTTAATTTTTTTTTTTAAAACATATCTTTTTTGTGTGTTTCTCAATATTTTTATTTTTTATTTCTAAAAAAGTTTAATATAATTTTGAAAGCACTCAAAAAAACTTTAAGATGTGTGTGTTTTTCAAAACAACCATACTTTCATCAAATAGCCAAATATATTTCGTTTCAAATCAAAGCATAAATAAAATAAAATAAAATAAAATAAATTTGAAACAGAACTGATTGCACTTTTGATTTTTTATTTTTGTTTTATTTTTTTGTTTTGTTTTGTTTTATTTATGTTTTGATTTAAAATAAAATATATTTGGTATGACATAAGATATTAAGTTGTTTTTAAAAACACTTAAATAACTTTTAGATGTTTTGAATGTTTTTAATAAGAAGTTAGTTTGTTTTAAATAAAAATAAAAACATGTAAAAATGCATTAAATAAATATGTTTTTGAAATAAAAGTATTAAAAAAAAAAAAGTGATCCCGAATAAGCCCAAAACTTTCCTGTTTATTTTTTTCATTTCCAGAGTGACAACTTTACTTTACTTCTTGGGCATAACTATGAATATGAAGTGGGTCAGCATCCATCTAAAGCTTGCTAAATTGAAAAAAAAAGGACATTTACATAACTACCACCCAATTCCTAGTATTTACATGTCTAACAATTATATTTATTTTTACATTTATGTCATCAAAAATCTTTCATATCACATAAAAAATACCACTATTTTAACTTTTAAAAAGTTAAATACACCTTTTCATGCTTAGTTAAGGTGGTATAGATGTAAAAATTGAAGTTTAGGTGTTGGAGATGTAAATAATACCACTATTTTAACTTTTAAAAAGTTAAATACACCTTTTCATGCTTAGTTAAGGTGGTATAGATGTAAAAATTTAAGTTTAGGTGTTGGAGATGTAAATACATAGGAATTGAGTGAAATGTATGTGCATCTTCAAATATAAAAAATAAAAAATAAAAAATAAAAAGAGCCCTGGCGAGGCCAAGTCCATTAAGGAATTTGCAGAGCTGGCTCTTTCTTGCTCATATATATAATATATTTTAATCATTAATAAGTACATAAAATTCTGTAGTATTAGGAAACAAATTGTGCAATGGCAAGTTGGACATTGCTGGATGCTGGTCAGAGCTAGACCTTGCTAATAATTAGCAGCTGGCAATGCTAGGTGTTTTTATGGGCTTTTGGTATTCTTATTCATTTTGTGATTTTAAATGTGTTTACTAACAAGTTTAAGCCCGTCCTTAATGTTGGCCCATAAAGGTTTTTTAAGGGCTGATCTTATAAGTCAACTCAGCTCATTTGACATCATCAATCATTACTAAATATAATGATTTTTTGTTCTATATATATTTTATGCATCCATGCTAAGACCATGTAGCTTAGTTTCTCATCAACAGAAGAACATGCGGATATAAACTCAAAAAAATTAGATGTAATTTGTACTTTTAGATAATTGAAAATCAATAAAAGATCCTATTTAAACGATCCAATCAAATGATGAAAGTATGTTGGCAATTGTGAGTTGTTGATCTTTTTTCCTTTAAGAAATAAATATTTTTTACTTAAATACGCTTTTCCCATTTATTAGAATTAAATGAAAATATGACACTCAATAGACGCTATGGAAAAAAAGGATTCATATGGCCGACCCCATTCAATAGAATAAAGGCTATTTCTTGTTGTAAATACTCTCTTCTCCTTTTCTTTCTTAAAATCAGTTTGGATTTATGTCGAGTAAGTCTACCATGAAGGCTATAAATTTATTGAGAGGTTTGATGGACAAGTATAGAGAGAATAAGGAGGATATACATATATTTTTATTGATTTATAAAAAAAGAAAACTTATGATAGAGTTCCAAGAGAAGTACTTCGTAGAGTTCTAGAATAGAAATGTGTTGATATTTCATATATTTAAGTCATTAAAGATATGTATACTAGAGTTGTTACTTGTGTTTGAATACAAGGAGGATTGACCTAGTACTTTTTTTATTTCAGTTGGATTACATTAGGGATCGACTTTAAACACCTATCCTTTTGCTTTAGTTATGGATGTTTTTATTGGACATTTACAGGAGGATGTACCTTGATGTATGATTTTCATTGATGATATCCTTCTTGTAGATAAAACTAGAAAGGGAGTTCAGGGAAAATTTGAATTATGGAGGTCAATTTTAGAGTCTAAAAGCTTTTTTTTTAGTAGATCTAAAATTTAATACTTGGAATGTAATTTTTGTATAGTTTATCTAGTGGTGGGTTTATAACAATGGGTGATCAAGTCATTAAAAGGAGTAAACATTTTAGATATCTCAGGTCTATTGTTCAAAGTGAGGGTTATATAGATGAAGATGTTATTAATAGAATTCAAGTTGAATGGTTTAAGTGGAGGAGTGCATCCGTTCTATTGTGTGATTGAAAAGTATCTTTTAGACTTAAATGGAAATTTTATAAGATGACTATGAGACCTACAATGCTTTATGACACGTAATGTTGGCCTATAAAAGAGAAGCATAAAATTATTAAAGTGTTGTTGAGGTGAGAATGCTCGGGTGGATAGGTTGTTTTACACTAAGAGATAAAATGAAACAAATATATTCGTGAAAGGGTTAGAGTAGCTTTAGTGACATACAATATTAGAGAAAGTCACTTTAGATGGTTTGTTCTAGGAGTGCAAACGAGTCGAGTCGAGCTAGAATCGTGCCAAGCTCGAGCTTGGCTTGTCTAGCAATCTGTGAGCTTGGGCTCGAATGGAGAGCTTCGAGTTTCGACTCATATTGGTAACAGCTGGCTCGCGAGCTCGAACATGAACTCAATTTGTATGGGAGCTCGACGGAGAAGGTATTGGTGGTCGGAGGAGGAGGTGATGGGAGCTCACCGGAAAATGCATCGAAATGACTAATGGTAGCTAATCGAGCATGCTAGCGAGCCAACGAACTGAGTCGGGATAAGCTCAGCTCGTGAGCTCGTTTACTAGCTGAGCTCATGCCGGCTCGGCTCATTCGTACCACTAGTTGGTCATTTTAAATGTCAACCATCTGATGAACCTATTAGGAGAGTAGATGTTTTAGATTTAACTTCTGCTAAAAAAAAGGTAGAGGTAGACCTTAAAAGACTTGGGTATTTTGTTTAAAAAATGCTCTTAATTTATGAGAATTAATTGAAAATATGACCCACAATAGGGCACAATAGAGAAAAGTGTTTCATGTAGCCGAGCCCTCTTAGTGGGATAAAGTCTAGCTGTTGTCTTCCCATTTTTCCTGTTATATCTTCTTATTATTGGAGTTGAGAGTATTTGGATTTGTTGATTTTCTATGTAAGCTAACAAATCATCTCCTTGTGAACCACTTAAATATGTTCAAGATGATTTTTTGACCCTTCAGATATAATTCAGAATAGTCTCTCCTTTGGATTATTTAAGGGACAACTTTGGATTAGATTTTGGTAGTCAAGTGACTAATTTAGTATTAACTAGTCTGCGACTACCATAATCTCGTCAAAACTATCTATATATTTGAGCATCAAGAAGATAATGAAAAATATGTATGATGAAATAATAATATTCTTAGCAATTGTGGAGTTATTTGAGAATTTATTATCACACAAGGTTGCATCCAGGATGGCAGCATGTACTTATTTTATAGTGATTGTGGAGTTACTTATAAAAGATATTCAAGATGAGATGCTTCAATATAATACTATTTTTGAAGATAGTATAATTTTCATTGTAAATTCTCTTGCCAGTATATAT